GTATGTATGGATTATGATAAGAGTTGTATGACCCCCCAATAAAAAGATTTTTTTTAAAGTGGATGAAGGGAGACAATAGACTGTGTGAGATATAAAAATGTTCAACTGTAATTTATCAAGTGGTCATGAGGATGGAGGATGGAGGGGAAAAATGTACTGATACCAGGGGCTGAAGTAGAAAGTAAATGTTTTGAAAATGATGATGGCAACAAATGTACAAATGTGCTCAATACAATTGATGTATGGATTGATATAAGAGCTGTAAGAGCCCCAATAAAAGGATTTACAAAACAAACAAACGAAAAAACCTTTTTATTGTGAATTTGGTCAGGGTTTACATAGCTGACCTTTTTTTTTCTGATCATCATTTCTGCACTAAACTTCCCCAATGGCTTGACCCAATATGTCTCCCTTACTTTTCCCTATCTCTGTCTTGTAAGATATATCTTCCCTTTTATCCACGTTAATACCCGTCTACCCACCAGCTTATTATTTCCATTTCTCTCCCTTCCCCTTTTACTCCTATGAATGCTTAAAAATAGCAATGGTCTCATACAATATTTGTGCTTTTATGATTAGTGTCACTCAAGGCTTTAAAGTTGGTTTTTGTTTTTTTTAAGGCTTTAAATTTTTACAGAAGCAGATTGCTACATGTTTCTCCATGGAATAGCTGATGGGTTTGAACCACCAGCTTTCTGATTAATCACTGAGCCACCATGACACTTTAGGTATGATAAGAAATACTAATAAAATGAGCTACTTGCTCTATTAATAAATAGAGACTACTTGCTCTTGGCGGAACACAGAAGGAGAATCTTTTAGTAATGACAAAGTGGGAAATCTGCACAGGAATAACAAGATTTGATTGGAATAAAGAGGGTGGAGGGTAAAAGGCTAGTGGTAAGTCATGCAAAAAAGGGAAATTTGAGTATGATAGGAAGTGCTAGCTCAGGAGTTTGGAGTTGATTAATGGAGAGACATAAAAGTGTACCTCTCCAGGGGCTTAAAATGAAAACGGTCCTCCATAATAACTAAGCTGGCAGCAATGTGTATGACAGACGTGAAGGAGATAGAATGAAAGTAAAATGTTGAAAGATTAGTTAAAGTACTTAAAATAGCACATTTCAGAATTAATGAGCACCTTAATGGGAATGAGAAAGAACATAAGAAATGCTGAAGAAGCAGATATGGTAAGGCTTGGTAAGAGATGGTCCGCGATAATGAAAGTTTTGAGTCTTTCACAATATATAATAATGGTGATTCCACTAATAGGAGAAATATTCCACTAATAGGAGAAATATAATAATGAAAATGAGCTTTTGGATTTTATTTTAGAGATGGAAGGATATAATTCAGTTTTATTAACACTGATTTAAGCTGATTAAAGTTATTTATGTTGTGAGGTTCAGCAGACAGCTATAACTCTAAGTCAGGAACTCAAAGGACAGAGGCCTAATCCTAAGTAACTGTGAACTGCCTATGTGCAATATTTGTGGTTTATATATCTGTATCTTTTTTCTAATGTGGAGCATAAGTACTATAAGGCGTGCAGTACATGCTTAGTAAATGTTTAATTAATTTAACTGAATCTGGTAATCCTTCACATACATATGATTGCTAAGGCAGATAAATGCATTGGGGAGAAAATGGAGAAAAAGCGAAGAGTTGATGATAAAATCGTAATGCTCACACTAGACGTCAGCTACAGATAGAAGAGGCCAACTGAGGAGAAAAAGGAAGCTGGGAGAAAAGAATAGGGTCAGGGCACACTGTTGACAAAGAGGGTGAGGAATAGGAAGCGTCTTCAAGGAAAGAACAATCATCAACGTAAAGTGTTCAAAAAAGGTCGAGATAGCTAAAGACTAAACCTGATAATTCTGTGGGATTTTGTGGTCTTTCAGGAGTTTTAGGAGAGCAATACTGACAAGCCAGGATTATGAGAGTACAGATTGAAAGGACAGCCAATTTTTAGGAAGCATAAATTCATCTATTGAAAACACAAGATTATGGTTTAAGTTCTGTGGTTCAGTGAATTACCTGATAAGGCTCTTTTAATTATAATTTTGGTAGCCCCCACCAAATAATTAGATGGAACCATACAAATAGGGTGTATGTCATTCTAATGTGGGGATTGGTCAGTTGTGCCATCGTGTTGGGTTTAAATGAACCATCCCAATAGCAGGAACTGGGATCTCCACACCAGAGAGAAAGAAGAGCCAAAACTGGAGTGCATCCTATGGTTCCTGACACCCTGTGCACTGAACCTTCTTGACACAGGAGACAGAGTTGTGACATCACAGAAATAACACAGAAGCTGCAGCAGCATCAAGAAAAAGTGATGCTTAAGAAAACGCAGCTTAAGATAAAGTAAATAAAAACAATTTATAAATTATCAAGGGTTCCTAAGGGAGGGAGGGAGGGAAAAATGAGGAACTGATACAACGGGCTCAAGTAGAAAGCAAATGTTTTGAGAATGATGATGGCAAAAAATGTACAAATGTGCTTGACACAATGGACAGATGGATGGATTGTGATAAGAGCTTTATGAGCCCCCAATAAAATGATTAAAAAGAAAAAGAAAAAGTGAAGGGCGGCTTCCAGGCCTACCAGGCAGGAAAGTTCAGTGCCCTCACCTCAGGTAGGAGGTTCCCTTAGTGTGGGTCTAAAAGTACTTTCTAAAGAGACTTACTATCTTGGACAATTCTTGTTGATTGTACTAAGGATTATCATAGTTAAGGAGTTAAATTTGCTGTACTTTAATACATCAAATTGTTAATATAAAACTTTAGCATAAAGGTATCAGAAATCGCTACTTTTGGAAATAGCTTATAAAATTAAATTTTTTTTTAGAAAACTATTCACCATACATTACCTATTTCTACCTTAGTGAGACAGTTATCGATCTCTTTAAGTATGATGTTCATCTCATGCATCTTTATCTGGAGTTTCTCCCTTTCACTCTAAACAAAAAATATAGATTGTCAAATTAAACCTCTGTAAAAACAAAACAAAGTGTTCAAGTTGCTGATAAAACTTTGTGTAAACATATGAAAAGGTAAATCTTAAGATGAAGGTCAAAGTTTCAACTCTGGCCTTTATAAAAATTAAGAATATATAATAAATTAATATCAATTTCTTTTTATACTTTCCTTTAGTCTACCATTTTCATGTGTGTTCCATGGAATATTGATTCCACAGGATATTAATAAATGTTACTTAAAAATAAAGTCCTATGGCCAAATAAATGTTAGAAACACTGGTCAGACAAAATTATACCATTTTTTCCCTTAGTTTTTATTTAGTTATTAATATATTTTTATTTTAGGCTTTAAGATGTTATTATATTTCTCAAAAAGGGACTACTGAAAATAGACATTTCCCAGACTTTTTTACCAGTAGAAATATTATGCAGAATTTGTATTAAAAGCAGTTTTTTCAGAATGCAACTATAAATACAGACACACATAGCTGGATATGGACTAGATGGATGATAATATTACATTATTGTCCTTAGTAATAGAAGACCAGGAATCCTAGTGTTTCCTCTCAACCTGTACAGTGTATAACATAAAACACAGACAGGGGAAAAGAAAAGGAAAAAAAATACAGACAGGGGTACTACCCGTATATTCTAGTATCATTTGAGATGTCAGAATTTGCCTTTTGATAAACTGAACCCCGTCTCTTAGAAACAATTACAAGTTTTTGTCTAAGCCTCATTCACATACCTTCAAATGAACATTCATCATATTCTACAACCAGTATGAAGTCGTTTTAATAGCTCTTTTCTATAGTGTAAACTGTCTCAAATTACCTGCGCTGATTGTACCAGTTTACTGTAGAGCGCCACTTTTCCTTGGTGAGTGAAGACTTTAGTTATCTTGGTAAAACGTGATTTTATTTTGTTCAAGTAAATTCCAAACGCCTTAAGCTGTAAGGTAGAGTCAAGGGGTACATTGTAAAAAGCAAATCAAAAAGTGGTAAATTGTCTAGGAAGGCTGCCACATTCTAGGCTTTGTCCATACTAAACTGATTCCTAAGCAGGTTATCTCTCACATGCATTTAATTCCATGTAATTGTTTAAAAGGAACCATTTCAGTCTTGATCTCTGCCTTTACATTACAAAATGACAGAAAAAGGAAAGACTTTGGGCTAATCAAACCCTTTAAAAATATTAGGGCACATATATAATGAATTTTATATTAGTTAGCCAATCAAAGTGCTTACTCTCATCATCAAAATCAAAGAGAAAGGCAAACAGATAAGAACTCTAAATAAGCTTCAAATATATTTCCTATGTTAAATTGATCATCTCAGGTTGATTACATATTAACACTTTATTCTCTGCCATTAGTTGATTTCATCTCATAATGACCCTGTAGTGTGTCGTAGAACTGCCCCATAGGCTTTCCAAGGCTGGGAATCTTTACGGAAGCAGACTGCCGGACTGCCACACCTTTCTCCTGCAGAGCAGCTAGTAGGTTTGACCCATAAGTCGTTCAGGTAGTATCCAAGTGTCGTAACTGCTGTGCAAACAGTGCTCCTTGTTAATAATTACTTATCTCTAATTCAGTAATACTTTATCGTCATAAGGTCTTGTGTGGTATAAATGGTTAACATGATGTACTGCAAACTGTACCTAAGTGCCACTCAGAAGAAAGGCTTACCGATCTACTTCTGCTGAAAAATCAGTCATAGAAAACTGTTCTACTCGATGGAAAACTGTTCTACTGTGAATAATTTGAGTCACCGTGAGTTAGCATTGACTTATGGGCAATAAATTCTTACCATATTACCCCTGAGAAACAAGTTAAAGAATTCACCATCAATTATCATGTAGTAATCACGATTCCAAAGATCCCTGGTGGCACTACCAGTAAGTGTTGGACTGTTCAAACTCACCCACTGCTGTGCAGGAGAAAATAAGGAAACTCTATAGAGCAGTGGTTCTCAACCTTCCTAATGCAGTGACCCTTTAAGACAGTTCTTCATTTGTGGTGACCCTCAACCATAAAATTATTTTTGTTGCTACTTCATAACTGTAATTTTGCTACTGTTATGAATCATAATGCAAATTCTAATATGCAGGATATATTTTCATTGTTACAAATTGAACATCACTAAAGAATAGTGATTAATTACAAAACAATATGTAATAATATATTGTAAAATATTTATTTATTTTCCGGTGATCTTAGGCAACCCCTGTGAAAGGGTCATTCGACCCCCAAAGGGGTCGCGACCCGCAGGTTGAGAACTGCTGCTATGGAGGGTTGCTATGAATTAGAAATTGACTCAATGACAATGAGTAGTTACTATTTCACCACAAACATTGTTCAAAATGCCTGTACTGATTCCCATTCAGAAAAAAAGACAAAAGTACCTCCTCATCTGAATAATGTCTCATTTTCCCCCACAAGTTCTTATTTACATCACTCAGCAGTTTATCTTGGTTCAGTGCAGAGAGTTTTAATCTAAAATACAGAAAAGTTAATTAGCATAGGTTCAGAAGCTAGTTTGAAGGAAACACTTCAGATCTACAGGCATATTTACTTTAATACTTTCTTTTTCTTTCCTATCTAAAAAGGGAAATTCACTGAAGAACAGTAGCCAGCCTGATTGTTTCAACCCTTGTAATATAATTTAAAAGATGCCACAAATCAAAAGCACTTTAATCATAAAGATAATGCTCAGATCTTGTATCAACTTTTTCCTGAAGAATAAAGTATTCTAACATATTGCCTATGAAGAATTCTGGTGTCTGTCAATTTATAACAGTTGTGACTTGTAGCTATTGTTATAAGTAAAAATTAACAATCCAGTCCAAAGTACACTACTCTGTATACATTTCCTTTAGAGAACAGGAGTTACAAAACTAGAAAAGTTATTATAATCACAAATTTTAATAAATTAAGGAAGTAAATTTGCCAGTGCTAGGAGAATGTATTATATGCCGACATGTTTGTGCAAAATTAAACAGCAGAACACATCTAAAATCTATTGCTTATTATATATAAGATCCCATCCCACTCTAAGTAAAACAATTTCAGATACTTTCTCAAAACAAATCTGGAGAGATATCAAACTCTTTCAAAACTGAGGACACAACCCTTACATTCTTGTACAATAATAAACTCTAGTACTGTGTCCTATGCCTGGTACATAAGTGCTTAATAAATGTTTGCTGACTCAACAAATCAGAATCAGGTCAATGTGAAGTATTTACACAGATTCTAGAGTTTCTAGTTTTTTTGTTTTTCAGTTTTTAAGTTTCTAGTTTTAAAACTACATAATTCCTAAAGTTTTTTTCTCTTCTGTTTGTTAGAGTAGTTCAAATTTAGTTGCATTGTCCCAGGCAAGTATGATATAAATACAATCTAGGACTGTAAATCTACATATACCTAATTTGTTAATCAATATATAGCATTTACATATACCAAAGCCCTAAATTATATTTTAAGAAGAAACATATTTTTATATAAGGGAATTAAGGACAAATGTGATAAAATTACAAACCCCAAAGCAATCTTGATTTCGGGCACTATATATAAATCACTAAATGATATTATTTCTTTTTTAAAGCTATTTTCTCTCAATCAGTTCATATCATAATCTAGTAATCACAATTTTTGAGAACCTACTTTTTGCTAATAATATGAAAACATTCCATGTTAACTATTTCTATTGCTTATTTTTGCCAGCTGAGTAGGTATGGATAAGAAAATGAAGGTTAAATGACTTACCCAAAATTACACAGCTAGTGTTGTAGACTTGAGCTTCAAGCTGAAATGTTTTTCCCCATATCACACTGCTAATTAACACCAACAACTTTTTCCTATAGCACTGTACGTAACTCTAATTAAAATCGTAACACATAGACACATTCACCCATCCAACAAAGAAATACGAAAGAAAAACATTAAATCTTTCATACTCTTCAATTTTTTGGTGGAGAGCCTCACAGTCTTCTTTATAAATCTGTATTTTGGGTCGGTAAACATACTGTGTTAACATCAGGTCTTCTGGAGTAGGTGGGGTGTTTATAGTAAACTGAAATAAATAAAATAAACAAATCCCTCAAAATGTATATGCTGAAGACAAAGTTATATTTAAGAACTAATGCAAATTTCAGAGTGCTTATACTGAAAAGATCAACAAAGAAAGCTGAATATTCACATAACTGGTAAAATGTAAGCTGGCAACTAACTTCAAGTTCATATTTCAAAGTTCAATTCCCTAGATATTTAGGAGAGCTAGACTTCCACTGACATAGGAAGTAATTTGAAAATGGTTATGCATTATTTTAAGAAAATCAATACTTAAAAATTCAGACTTCCTAGGAAACCCTTCATGGGGCAGTGGGGCGGTGGGATAGGGTGGGTTTGCTGGGAAGCGCTAGTTTCTGGGTTATCTCTAGTTTGATCCTTACTACTACTTTTTTTTTTTTTTTTTAGTTTAAGTTTTTGATCCTTACTTCTAAAGCAGGCTGAATTGAAACTGTTCCCCCACCCCCACCCCCACCCCGGCCCCAATATGCCCTTCATTTGTAAAATAAAGCAATGGAACGCTGGTTACTCTGAATATATTTTATTACTTTAATCGTATGGCTTTTTATGTTCTGGATGCAAGACTAGAAAAATAAAGTCCTTATTTCACATTACTTTAAAAACACAAGCTAAAGTAAACCATACAATTATCCATCATTCATAATCAGTGTGGCACCTGAGCTCTGGTCTCTTCATCTAGAAAACAGGAGTAATACCAAATAGCCTGCTAGAAGTTTTTAAAAAGGAACTCAGGGCCTACTAAAGCAGTC